GTGTGGGTGACCATGGGTGTGTGTGTGTGTGTGACCATGTGTGTGTGTGTGTGTGTGTGACCATGTGTGTGGGTGTGGGTGTGTGTGTGTGGGTGTGTGTGGGTGTACTTCTCTGTTTTTGGCTGATGTAGTTGTTGGTGTTGATGGTTCGGTGAAGTTTGTTATAGAACGTGATATGCTTTGATTGTTTTGTCATTCTGAGAGACAGTTCTGAGAATGTGGTTTTGAGTTGTGTACAGGTAGTTTTGAGTTGTGTACAGGTAGTTTTGAGTTGTGTACAGGTAGTTTTGAGTTGTGTACAGGTAGTTTTGAGTTGTGTACAGGTAGTTTTGAGTTGTGTACAGGTAGTTTTGGTCTGTCAGCTGCGGCTGTTTATAATGGTCTGTGGGCCGCTGTCGGGGGAAGAGTGTGTGAGGCATCGTGGGAAAATCAGGCGCTCGGAGAAACGATGAAATCAGGCGCTCGGAGAAACGATGAAATCAGGCGCTCGGGGAAACGATGAAATCAGGCGCTCGGAGAAACGATGAAATCAGGCGCTCGGAGAAACGATGAAATCAGAGAATCAGGCATTTTTCCGTTGGTTGAACATTTTTTAAACTGATTTTTAGAGGGATCAATACCATTTTCTGCCCTTGTGAGACCAGATTTCTGCGTAGATTTTACTGGTAAATGTTGATCAACGCCACAGAAAATGTAAATTTGCAGTACGGTATCTTTGATCTTTGGAAATCCCCAAACTTGGGCTGCCATATTCTTGTTTATTTTTACCGTTTACTCTACACGATCCTCGCCTGATTCTGTCACAAATGTCGAGACCTTTATTCCAGATAGTTGGGTATATTATTGTCTTCAAAACCAAGGGGGAAAAATAACAAGCTTTAAGATGACACCAATATAATCAATATAATAAAGTCCATATGGGCAAAAATTGATTCCAGCGTGTCTTGGCAGTGAGACACATTGGTTTGGCTGTTGTGTCTGGCCTGTTTATTTGTGTCATATGGATGACCTTGAGGGAAAAATAAAATGTGGGGAAAGTCGTTGTGGTTTGTGGACAGTTTTAATGTCACGCACAGTGTGTGTATTTATGTGTATGTGTTGTGTGTGTGTGTATGTGTTGTGTGTGTGTGTGTGTGTGTGAGGGGAGTGTGTGTGCACAGTGTGTGTATTTACGTGTATATATGTTGTGTGTGTGTGTGAGGGGAGTGTGTGTGCACAGTGTGTGTATTTATGTGTATATGTTGTGTGTGTGTGTGAGGGGAGTGTGTGTGCACAGTGTGTGTATTTATGTGTATATGTTGTGTGTGTGTGTGAGGGGAGTGTGTGTGCACAGTGTGTG